AATATAATATAATATAATATAATATAATATAATATAATATAATATAATATAATATAATATAATATAATATAATATAATGTAATATAATGTAATATAATAAATATAATATAATATAATATAATATAATATAATATAATATAAATAATTAAAAAACGTTGTGTAATGTAATATAATGTAATAGAATAGAATAGAATAATTTTATAATATTATAAATTATATACTATAATATTATTATAGTATGTACTATTTATTATTACATATTAAATATTAAATAGATATTATTTATATTACATTACATTACATTATATTATATTATATTACATTATATTTTTGCTTTTTGCAAATATTCAAATCAATGCTATGTGTCCAACGCTGGAAAATTTGGCTGAATTAATAAAATTTCTTTTAGTTCTGCTTTTAACAACACTTAGAAACAATAGTGTGAGAAATATATTTTAATTTTGATAAATTTATTTTTAGTGTGATAAATTTATTTTTAGTGTAATAAATTTATTTTTAGTGTGATAAATCTATTTTTAGTGTGATAAATAGATTTTTATTTTGATAAAACATATTTTTAGTGTGATAAATATATATATACATTTTTTTTTTTACTATCACACGGTGATTTAAAAAGCTTTTTTTCATGGGACTGAGAGAATGAGAAAAAATAATCCGGAAATTTTTCACGTTCTTGGATTTTCCAATTTGGATGAAGAACATCAGAATTTCGGGGAAGGAATTTATCCATCAGGGAGTTACCACAGAATGGAGCCACCAAAAAAAAAAAATTAAATAAAATTTGATTTACAGGTTGGGGGGGGATGATTTTGAATAATTCATGAAGGTTCATGAATATTCAACAGGTCGATGAAAAGAAATGTTCTCTGAATTAATGTGCTCAACACCTGGCCATTGAAACCTTTTATTTTATTGGCTTTTCTTATTTTTTATTGTCGTTTCTTATCTTTTCTTGTTTTTTCTTGGTTTTTCCTGGTTTTTTTCTTGTATTTTCTTGGGTTTTTTTCTTGTTTTTTTTTCTTGTTTTTCTTGGTTTTTTATCTTGTTTTTTTTTCTTGTTTTTTTTTTATTGTTTTTTTCTTGTTTTTCTTGGTTTTTTTCTTGTTTTTTTTTCTTGTTTTTTCTTGTTTTTTCCTGTTTTTTCTCTTGTATTTTCTTGGTTTTTTCTTGGTTTTTTCCTTGTTTTTTCTTGTTTTTTTTCTTGTTTTTCTTGGTTTTTTTTTTCTTGTTTTTTCTTGTTTTTTCTTCTTTTTTTCTTCTTTTTTCTTCTTTTTTCTTCTTTTTTCTTGTCCTTTCTTCACCTTTTGATAATTTCCCAGGAACCTGCTCCTCTTTTCTCTGCTGCTCCCTCCCCCAGCCCGGACACCGCATCAAGGACGAACCTCCCCAAAATCCCCAATCCCAACCCTCGCTCTCCCCACGCCTCTTTGGGCTGAAAACCCCAAAATTTTATTTTATTTTTTATTTTTTTTTTTAATAATTTTGAATGATTTCATTTGCCAAGCCGGGTTCAAACAGGAACGTGCTGCGGTGATTCACTCTTACCTTCCAAAATTAGCCGGGAGAAATTCCAAAAAAGCGTCGTTGAGATAGAGCTGGGTCAGGTTTAGAAGTTGTGTGAAACCATCTGGCAACCTAAAAAAAA